GCAGTTCTCAATGGTGGAATGGTTTGTTTTTGTCAATTGCTTTGATGCAACTTTGAATCTTTTATCAGATGATCATTTTTATACCTTCTTTCAAACTTTTCTATGCATTATCAGATGGAATTTGCAAATTAAATGGTGCATTTTTACTTACTTGTTACTTCAAACAATTAGGCTCTCTTTACAGAAATTTACTACACTATCTTCAAACCAACCCCATCAGCAAGCTAATTTGAAACAGCATTTCCTCTTACAATAAGCTGTCTGGAATGTCTTTTTCAAGAACAAAGGTTATGTGACAAGAAACAAGTTTGAATTGAATTAAGTTCGATGGCCGTAACCATCACTCATAGTAATACTTGCCACCACAGAAATTCAAATTCAATCCTATCGCTTATCTCTATGCAGTGTACATTTCCTCTTGGAACATCACTTCGACTGAATTCTCTGTTTGTCGCTAAAGTCGTTGTGCCAGTTATTAACACTGCGAACCGGTCCCCGATGCATTACCGCAATCTACCATGATTGGGGATAAAATAATGTCGTATTCAAACTCTGCAAACTGAAAAGTTTCATTCAAGAGGTTCCGTAAAGACCATATGAACAAACACCCATATATTATGGCTTGGTTATTTGGATCTAGCATGCCCGAAAACTTTGTTGGTCTTTTTAGTATACTGGGGAACATAAAGCAGATGTTTGAGCACTAGTTGCTCCCCACCCTCATTGTGTTAATCCATTGCCGGCGAACTATCAATGGCAACGCTTACACTATTCTTATATCCTACTTCCTATTATCCAAGGAAAACCAATAAGGATGTTGAACTTTTAAAACTTTTTTTGACTCTCTTTTTGCTACCAAAGCTTGCAATGCACATACAGGCGATAACTTCGGAGGTACAAGCCTCATAATACTATTCCAAATTGCTTACAATTTAGCCCATTATCTTTTGGTTTTTGCTTTCTTAGATTTAAGGCTTTTCAAAATAAACTTAGATATGAATAGCTGACAATTGCTGT